TCTCACTGTCAAGGGTACCTGTGTCTCTGGACCCGTTGAGGACTCAAACGTAATACATACAAATGAGTTTTATCTAAAGATAATTTAAGGGAATCACACTCAAACAAAAGAGGGCTAGCCTCCATCGCCCCTTACAATGACAACTTTACAAGCGATAGATAACCTTTCACCTCGAAAGCAGCCTTCCATGCCTTCCTATAAAATTTCGAAATTCCCTCAAATAACCTTTTGTGCCCCGTTTCATTGATTTCGACTCTCTCAATTCAATCTCTATTATGGACCTTCCATTTTAACATGTAACCTATGTTCGTTGGAAGCCATGAAGCACTCGGAAACGGCCTCTAAAGACGGCCGATTTTAGATTTATAGTCTCTGAGGAAAATTCGTTCGGAACGTAAACATTGGGGAACAGCTGATTTTTTCATATGTTTTGAAAACGAACCCTTTTCGCCCGCCGTCGAACGAGCGTTTTTCTTTTGGAACGAATTGAGTTTCCACCAGTATTAAGAACTCGCGCCTGCGACGACTAACAAACAGCTCGCCGAAATGAAGGATTTCATCAATAAAAATTGGCTTAAAGGTGCTGCAGTGGATTGTTGAATACGGTATTTTTTCTCAGTCAGTTAATATAAGATTTACAATACCTTTTTGTTCTACACACAGTCTTTTTACTTAAAGGTATATATATACATATGATGGATTTCCTGGATCCTCTAGCGACTATCAAAATAAGAACTGTCTGCAAGCGGTCGTCAGAATGCACTACCGGTGCAAGATGGTTGACTGTCGAAGGCAATGAAACGACAAACCCACAAACAGATTTTATTACGTTTGTGGCGCGACAAAATCTAAACATCGAAAGCTGTCGACAAGAGGAACGTGACTAAAGGGAAGTGAAAAAGCGACACCTAAAGGAGCTGCTTCGAGCGCGGTTGCCTCTACTTTACGAGCTATTGGGATGGATACCAATGGACAGTGATAGGGTCCAAGTTCTTTTTGTGGCATGTTAAAGAACTTACATTCTATCCTAAAAATACTACTCTAATAACTGTGTAATGTGTTGTTGTTAAAAATCGTCGATATGAAATTTCCAATAAATGCATAAAAAATTCTACTTGATATAATTTAGATCGATCCTAGCTGAAGGAAAAGGTGACCATGCAGTGACAGACGATATCATCTAAACCTGGTTAATAGCCTAAAACGAATATCTATATAAATAAATTCAAAAGAGTTGCACCTCACGCCTAGAGACACCTCAAAATACACTGTAATTCAGATAAAACAGAGTTTTGTACCTTGCTCTGAACGCCACCGATTGGAGTTGCGTATAGTATCTTTATCATAATAAAAGTGTCGAAAGACTAATATAAGCTTTACCAATATTGAGAAAATAAAGCAGCAGGCCCATCGGCATAACAGATTACTTTCTAATCTCAGGATTGCATCGGCTCTCTTGCTATCTTGGATCCTCTTTTTTTTTTTTTTCTTTTTATAAAATCGCCTCCTCTCATCGATGATCCTCGTGTATTATTATCCGTCACGCATGGTTAATTCTAGCGTCACCAAACTTCGAGCTTTTCAAATTACTTTTGATTTTTGCTAAACAACATTTGTAGAGATGATCCGCTTCAACCGATTAATCTAGATAATTCCTAGCACATTCGGATCGGCTGAAAAAGCTCTGGACTAAATGTATATGTTCATATGTAAACGCTCACTAGTAAATCAGCGATGCCTAGCGTATAGCAACATCATCAAAAAGTAAAAAATACCATAACATAATGTAAAATAAGGTAATAAGGGTTGGCCAGAGCATGCGCAGTGTGCTAAGATTATAGACTTTTCAGTTTGGCACGTTCTTAATCAACGTGCCAAACAGGCCGTGTGTGGGCTTTAGTGACCTAAGTAAACAGATATCTTTCTTACATTCAATGAACATTTAATCGAACCGTTTACAAACAATAGTGAAAAAGAGCATCACCGTCATTTGCATATTATTACTGGTTTTCCCTCAAATCACTTGATAAACTATGACTCGCCTGGATCCCTTTTGCAAAGGCCCGTATGAAACAGCCTAATATTTGTTTTTAATCCATTATAGCGAAGTGACGATGGAGTCTTTTTCAAGAGTTTCTTCGTATTGAGCGATTTATAAAGTAGATCCGTTATCGACGGGGATATTACGCGTACATACTTCTAGTCTTAAATGTATGTCATGCACTATATATACTATAAAAAAAAATATACGTCTAACAAACATCTAACCATAAACGGTACATCATAATTCGGGGATAGAGTTATCTTTTTTTTTATTGAGACTCCACATGTAGTTGCTCAGCCATGCTGTAGGGAAATTGATTTTCGGCACCTGTGCAAGCGGTGGCCTGAAACCACTGAAGACAAATCTACCCACATAAACGTATCATTCTACTAGCAGCGTACCTAATTAGGCTGAATTTTCAAAAACAACGAGCTGAACTTGTTGTACTGCGTGCATTATGTACGTGGGTGCACGACTTAGCAAAGTATTTTGCGTATAAATAAATCATTTACAAAGCAAACTGTAAAATGCTACACATTTATTTGTTTGTCTGGGTTTCGATCAACAGCAAATCGTTCCACCCAGCTCCCCACCAGCAATGATTAAGATCAGCGAAGAAAACAAAAACCTATATTTAGGTTTGTTCAGAAGTAACAATGACGTTTAACGGTGTATGTAAACTGGAATAATCAACATTCATTAATCGGATATGTCTCCCTGTAGTGCGTTCAGCGCAAGTGCAAGTGAACTGTTTTCCTCAAATAGGTAATTAATAAAAGTTCGAAGCACTTTGAAAGTGGCAGTGATCGTCTGTGAAAAGCGCGCAGGTATGCCCTATGTTCTAGTACACAGAGTAGCTCCGGCGACCCCGCTAACATCCTCCACATTCGTATCGGCGCAGGTCTAAGCTTAGTGGTCTAGGGAGGATACAACTAGGGGGTAACGCAGAACTCCTCAGGCAGAAAGCGAACTTCGTCAAGCAGTGAACTATAGTTAGCACATTATGATCAAACAGCGAAGAACTATTCCGGCTACGCCTTTCTTTAGCGTACGGCTAAAAGCGATAGGTAGCGTAGAATTCCAACGAGCCAATAACCACACCTAGCCCAGATATATTATAGGCTGCAGGTATTTGGTTAAACTTGTATACTCAGCAGAGTAGTTCCCATTTATACGCATCATCATCATATTGCGTATTAATGGAGCCGGTAAGTTTAGCCAATAGCTACCACGTGGTGTACATACAAACTTCGCAAGCCGTTAGGTCAGCCTTTTGCTCATGTTGTACCTATAGGACGCAAAGTTAAGAGGGTAACACGATTCTATTCTTCTCAGGGCACACACTCGTCGAATTTCTCCTTGACGCGAGATTAAAGCCAACTTTCTGCCAGGGTCTTGTATTATTAGCACCACACGTGCGATTTCTGTTTGATCCTCACAAAGCCTTTCCTAGGTCGGTATCCCCGAAGAGGTCGCTACTATTACGTGGCATATAAAGTCAATGCACGCACGCGCCGACTAAAGGGTAAACATTGTTAATAAGGGCGCGACGTCGCAAACGTGGGTGGAACAAATTCGCTGCATGTAATTGAGCATGACCGCTTACAGCTTGGGCGATCGCGACGCGTCGGAAGCGGGACACAGCTAAACTGTGGAGCCTTCTTATTTTCATATCGATGTATACGCATAATAGCAGGGTTAAAGCATATGGCAACGGGAGGTGATGTAACTTTTACCACTGCCACGACGGTATTGCCATTTAATGCCAAATTAATTGATCATATGAATTCGCGCAAAGGCGACCATATCCATACGCACCGTGTTGCAAAACTAGTATAGCGTTCTATTTCTACTAAATTAATGTGTTCAGGGAAAGCTAGATTCTTCATGCTACCTTCCACAATGATACAGTTTGGCGTTCATTGAGGTGACGACTAAACACGGGTTGAATTCGTGGCGCGATACGCTATCCCGAAAGGCGACCTCAGAAGTGCTCTCTCGTCGTCACTTCGACGCATATGCGAAGCAACCTGAAATTCGCGTAGGACCTCGGCTATTTCCTGTACTAAAACTCAGAGCAGTGTCGTCGTTATCAGTGATTATTAATATCTAGGACTTGCAATAATCATTCTTCTCCAACAAATATGGCGAAATAATATATTTTACCTGAAACGGTTTCGTAGTGTAATGGGACTCTAACCGTCAAAAGAAACGTCAGTGAGAATATGGCTTTCATCAACCGCCGTGAACTCCTTGCACAGCGAGCAGGCGGTTAGTGACTAGTGAAACTGAGATTGTATTTCTTACCCAACCTGTTTCAATAATATGAAAAACGTGCGCAATACTTTGTAGTCTATAGCTACTTCGTGAGAGAATCTGTGTCGCTTACTGTTACAAAGTTCCATGTTTCTTTTCAAAAATTGATTACAGAACTCTTGGTTTGTCAGCTTATTCTTACGAATGACAGCCTTATTCTGTGCCCTTATCCGGATCCTACAGTTACAAAGATCTTCTGTACGGCTAGGGACTGCATTTTGCATGGCTAAGTAATAGCATGTAAGCGCAGGTAATTATCCTGCTTTCTCACTCTGTTCGTCGTGCTTTGTCTGACCGTTTTGAGTGATTGCCCTGTGATCTATGCCTACGTCGTCTAACGATGGAAACGGTGCTCTGCCTTACTCTGTCTTTAGCTGCTTAACAGAAAATGGTGCTGTATATCTTCACAGGACATAGTGCAAGCAAACTTTGGCCCCATTTTTCGGCCTAAATTTACATGTAAGATGGAAAGCCCTCACTAGTCATTGTAAAAGTGACTTACAATACAACTTAGGAAAAAGTTTAAGGGCTTAATCAAGGTATCTTGAACTGAAAAAGTTTAAACCATCTCCATGGGAACAATAGACCATCTTCTAAGCCAACCGACAGTACAGCTTCTTGGTGTGTCAATTATGTTGATCAAAACGTATTCTTAATAAATTAATCTGAGGAAAGATAGCAGTTCTTTGAAATTAGCAAGTATATTTCTTTCAAAAATAGCTATACAAAAAATAGTGACAGGCAAAACACGCAACTATTTCATGTACGCAGTCAGTAAACGTAAAAGTTAGCTATTACGATGTTCGATCTCAGGTGAACGTGTGCAGTGTGGACTATTGACAATCGCTGACGGGGATGCGTTCATTTTTTTCACTTTTCTCTGACCAAGCTTTGCTAACGGTTCGAAGTGCTATTTGGCCAACGGCGTAGTTGAGGAATACGGTGTGCGAACTGGGTTCTTAAACGTTTGACGCTGCTGCTGCTGCTGCAGCCAGCGTCGTTATGTTTTTGAACTCTTCAGACAGTCAATAAATGGCTATTGAAGTGATACTCCTTGAAATGACCGCTCAGTTCTTCTGAGTGATGTGCAAAATTTAACATCATGAAGCGACGAAGATGAGGGCTCACTACATCGTCAGATCGCATAATAGACTGTCCTCAGCTGCGATCGTCGAGATGTCAGAAATCATTGTGACTTTTCTGCATCTGAAACCGTTTCAAACGCAAGGGTCTCCCTAAGCAAGATATAGAATTTCTATCTCTGGACGCAGATATAAGGCTTAACTTTCAAAGTGTTAGTATTCGAATCGTGACGGTATTCGACCCGCCAGCAGCAGCAGCATGTCATGCACTTGACGACTGCGTTAGAGTCTACCATTTGCTTATGGTGCAAACAGCCTCGTCATTGGTCGAAAGTTTTAATTCTAACTAAGCACCCTAGTTTGCAGGCCATTACTGCATAGTGTCGATATCACGTTCTCAGACGTAAACCATCACGAAAGCTGCTAGCTCTTGATTCACATTTTATTCATGTCACTATCAAACCCGTAAGTACTCGATCTAAGTGTTACCACCGGCAGCCATCTACGGAGGAGTAGTTAAGCGCTGCCGGGAAAAACGGCAAAAAAATGTATGTCCCAAAGAGCCTCCAGAAATGCTTGGCTGACATTAGCTGAAATTATGACAGCATCGTTAACGAGAGTATTGTCTTGTGTACGGGCGAAGCAAGACAGGAATATATGATTATTGATCAAAGAAACTTCTTGCTGAAGTACTAGCACGTTCATCTCTAGGTGTCGATGCGGCACAACAGCGCAAGACTCGCGACCTCAAATTGTTATAGTAAACTTTCGAGCCATAATAATTCGACAGACATAAGTGACATTCCGTAAATCAAAAGCCCTTATTATTTTAGTACATTAGTGTAGATTAAGAGTGCTCAGTCCTTCTTCAGATCCAAACGAGAAAAGACCGCTGAACTTAGTCAAGTTCAGCGGTCTTTTCTCGTTTTATTTTTATAGTCAGGTCGTCCAGTAGGCACGCCCAAAATTGACATGCATCGTGGAGGGGAAGCTTGGCAACGCACTAAGGTAGCAAATTGTGTTTGAGAAATATACATACATATCTACTTACGTCTGGCGCAGCCTGTCCTCACCGTCGTCTTATCTGCGCCGATGAAGTCGTTGATCTAACACTGAAAAGCCATACGAGTAGCTTTGTTTACAGATAATTCGAATACTAACGATTGCTTTGGCGTTAGACATGTCCTAGACGCACACAGACAATACAGGCCATGTTCAGGCCATTATTGAAGGTTTACTTGTTTGCTCCCTGTGCTATTGTATTTGAATGTGTGTATAATGGTGTATTCGCCGCAGGCAATGTCGAAATTTATTATATATATAGATAATAAATGTATATAAGTTCGCGTGCGTCAGCAACTACGCGCCTGACAATGTGGCGGGTTTCGTCATTGACACTGCTTAGTGTTCATACCTATAGGAACCCGCCTGAGAAACAGCCGTGGCAGGTAACAATCACCTCCATGGCATAAATTAAGCTATATGGAAAACAGAAGAGCTCAACACGAACCGATTCATCAGTGTGAGAAAATGGCGGTCCACTGAGAAATTGATTAAAGGCAAAGATAAGTTTTTGTGTCTAACAACAAATGATTCCAGTGCGACGCCCCATTGTCCTTTATCAAAGGCGTGTAGACGCAGCGTAAACGAACCGCGTAAATAAATCACTAGAAATGAGCCAACGATATGATAATAGCTATATTGGGAAGTGACGCATTTACTTGGCAACGAACAAATTTTTGTATCATATTGGCTCTTTGTCGCCGTTCATAACCAAAAAGTGAACCTAGCTGGTTGCAGGAATATTTGAATTCTGCCTTTGAGTTTCGTTCAGGCAGGCAAAGGAAGGCATTAATTGGGCGACCTATTGAATCAACGAGGGCATCAAAATTACAATATGCAAACCTTTGATGCTCCTTCAGACGTGGCCCTCTCTAGTCGTTTCCTCTTCAGATTGTCGTCGTAGCCCCGATACATGGATCGCTCGTAAACTACGTAAAGTATTGATCAATCGTTGGGCAGAAACGCATTCGTTGGTCGACTCGGTACGAGATTTCTACCGAACTAGCTAGTATATTGTTCCCGAAAACTTCCTCAGTTATTCTGGCCGAACGAACAAAAAAATCCGAAACTGAATTATGACTCTTTGCCGCCCAGCCGAATTTGAGAAAGCCTACAAATGTTCTTTAGGTACTACGAAGGTCTCAACAGGCAGCACCCGATGAGCTCGGATATTCTCAAGCGAAATTCAAGACTTGTTAGTCTAAACTGAACAGTTAAAACCCGAAGTGGGACCGTCAATTGAAGATGGATGCCCGGTGATTTTCGGTTCAATCTGCTTCCTGCGGATGGACGGACGTGCTACATCTCATGAGATTACTGGCGTTTCCGTCGCTGAACCATGTCACTATATAACGCATGTCCAGATCACGTCACCGACATTACGATGACTGCTAAATCCCTAGAACGAATGATATTAGAAGGTTACAAAGGGATACTATCGACTATCAAAAATATAACATATTCAAACATCTATATAAACCTATATATAAACTATATATATAGTTGTGGGTAGACTAACTTCTAAGCATCCATGAGACACTTTAAAGGTGATTCTTACTACCAAAAATATTTTTAAAAAATAGTAATAATAACAGGTGTGTTGAATCCACTTTTAGATAGGCTAATTCGCAATGTGTCAAAGGGTAACGTATGCCAAATTTAAATTAAGAAGATAACTTGAAGTTTACTTGAAGGGAACTTACTGGCTACTGTTAACGCCGCTTGGGACTCCTATTATTGCACTCAGACTACCAGGCCAGGCTTATACCTTTGCATCTGTTAACTATATCGCTACCTGTCATTGATATTCACCGTGATAGCCGTATATATTGACGTATAGAAAATTGTGTTCGACCCATGCTTGCCTATTACTTTCTACAGTCTACATTCAAAATGGCCCAAGTTCGTACTTTGTGTGAAATCATAATTCATCTTCATCTGTACTGAAGCTTTATCATTGTGGTTGTCATGTTTGCTACTTTAGAATTATTCTTTTATGACACTTTGCTCGAGAAGGAGACCAATTGAAAAGCCCACAAGACAACAGGTTTAGGTGCTTTCACAAGAAGTTTTTAAGGAACCTAATTGAGAGAAGCCTATGATAGAATTGAACTAGCTTTCTATTGTTCTATAGGAATATTTCGCTCCAGATTACGCTTGCTCACTGCAGCGTTTGTGTCCGGCGACGAGTACTTCACTTCAATAGATAAGGTGATCCCACGACGTAACCCAAAAAGCGCACTAAATGAGACTAGCATTTTCGGGTTTTTCACTTACTCGAGCTTATTCATACGGCGGCAGTGTAAGAAGGATTTATGAAAATTACTCAGCAATCCAAGTAATATCTATGTAGATAATTTTGCTCGAAACAGCTTGTCATTGGCAACCGTTTATCAAGCGATTAGTCATTCCTACTGGGGATATATTAGCGTCACCTTAATTTGTGACAACTAAACGAAGAAGTAATTCTAATGCTACGGCACAGTATATGTGGGCAAAATATTCAGCACATATGTACCAGACACAGAAACATTATTACACCAAGAAAGCATGTACATCACATATGCCTTTTTATTGCGCAACTATTAGGGTCTACCCTTACCTCTTTCTGAATTGGCCGGTTCTGATGGGTTCGATTCTGTGGCAAGATGTGCAAGTTTCACCAACACAAACGAGTCCCGCGACAATGACCGAGAAATCTGTTATCTGTCGGACTATTGCACAGGAGGTGGACGAGCTTAAATCACGATTGCCAGGCGAAGGCTTGGCTGACGCACAAGCTGCCTAACTCCCAGCATCTTTGAATCGGAATTACGGTCGTGGAAACAAATGCTAATTTGCATGTCATCAGAAAGAAAACGTTACCACCAATGATTTAAAAGAGCCTTCTCCTTAGACATCCCTTCCTCCGGGGTGGGTAATAGTTGACAATTGATGGAGGAGGTTGGTCCGAAATCAGTCATTGGCTGACTGCACCAGGAACGCCGCAGTCGAAGTGCCACTGGAGCAGCGACAGCTTATCATTCGAAGGCACATAGGCAGGACAGACCGTAAGAATGTAAACAAGGAAAAATGGAGTAGCGAGAAATACACCCATCAAACCACTCGAAGGTTGCTTAAAAATAAGGGTTCAGGCAGGGAACAAGCAAACGTTCGCTTGGAAAATGTCACCGAACTGTTTGCCATAGATGGTCATTTTGACCAGCGGCTGCAGCTGGCGGGGCGGACCAGTGTTGTTTGAAATGAGGCGTCCATCTCGTAACGCTCGATTTGTGTCAAAGAAATCTTTAAAGAGGGTCGTCTCATGGTGATGTAAATGCTTCAGCTTTCGTTTTGAGCTTCGCTCAAGAAGCTGTTATTCTGAGTGATCGATAAATAGAAAGGCTAGTATTGATGCTCTTCTTATAAAATTATAGCGTATATATACATACAGCTTATTGTTTACAGTATATGAATGTCTCTCGAACACTCAGAAGATAAAGCAGTAATTTATTTGCTATGGACCCAATGGTGTATTAATTGTCACATCAGTGTAAAAGGGTAATTATCTAGCTTTTCTCATGAATGATTACGATAATTTGTCCATCAGGTGGGTCGCGTGTTCAGGCCGTCTAAGTAACAGAAAATACCTGGATTGATTTAGCCGTAATTGATGCGATCCTTCTTGAGGTTTGTTTCTTGAATCTATCACCGGTATTTTTACTATTTCTCTAAAAAGCACCTAAAAGTAAATTACTTTGTACAAAGTGCTTAGTTACTTATCAAAGGACGTTACTTTACAGGATTTCTACTACTAAGAGTACTACTTAGTTTTAAAGGCAGATATGGCTGCAGATTGAACGAGGTTTAATGCGGCCTCGAGAAATGGCTTCCGTCACAGCGACGAAATGTCGACGTTGGTTAGGTAATAAGAAGAGGTTAATCGTATCGCGTCGATGAGCACCTACACAATAGGAGATGGTCTCATTCTGATTACGGCTGCCTGGGTTGTCTACTGTCTTTGCATAAGGGCTAACTGCATGCTAATCTGATGCCGGTGACAGACCTGCACGTTTTAGCTCTGCCCTGCAGAAATTACTGCAAAATGTCCAAAAGTAGAAATGCTAAAAGGTTTTCGAGTAACATTATAGACGACAGGACCCTCTTACCAATGAGAGAAGGTTAGATGGATGATTTAGCCAAATTATCTGGCGGGTCCATCGTTCTGCTTCCGAGTTCAGAAAAACAACATGAGACATAAACGGTAACGAAAGCGAAGTAATTATAAGACATGGATTACCTCTTTAAGACAAGTAGATGCACGCGCGAACGTGTAGTTAGAATATGGTACGGTGACACGGAATCAATCTACAGTATAAGCCCGAAAAAAGTGTACAGTAAGCTAAAACTCAGACTCCTCAAACCACCTCTGGAACGAAGTACAGATCTAGGTCAGCAAGGCGGTCGATCTATCGTCCGTGCAGCACTAGAAGCAACCTCTTAAAGTCAAACGAGGCAAAATGAGATATCTGCAGGCATCACTACCGTAAACCAATATTAACAGTCACGGAACATAGCTGCTTCCATCATTTCGAGGCGCGGCACGTGTGCTTTTATCATTATAGTGGTGTTTGCAGGTGGAAACCGTACGCATTTGCATATGGCAAATATGGAAGCGTATAGGCAACTATCACACTACAGGACCGGCTTTCTACAACTCCGGCTAGCGAATCTGCCTGGCAAACGGCAGTCCGTAGGATAGGAAAAAAAAGCTCTGACATGCAGCCAACTAAGAGCAGTATGCCATTCCAGCTGTCTCATTTCTCTAACAGAGCAAAGAAGAAAAAGAAGATTACTGCCTTCCATTTTGCTAATAAGCAGCCTCGTATAGCCATCCCTATTTTCTATGAGAGGTAATCGTGCACTCACGCGCAAAAGGAGCTTACTGCACGCATGATTGAGATTACAGCAGTGGAAGAGGAGCTAAGAGGAGGGAATAGAATACATCGCTTTCGTCTCCAAAGTTCGAAGTATAGTTTGCTGAAAACTGGAGATAGGTTAAAGAAGTTCTGCTTACAATTGCTGCTAGTGACCTCCTAAACTTCGTCGCTGTAAAGTTTAGTGAAACAAAAAAAGCTGGCTGTAATAAATACAACCAATGCACTCGCCGATAATGAAGCCGCGTGAAACACACAAGCCAGAAGCGTTCTTGGATCTAAACGTGAATTTAGAGGAAACAGTCTGGATTAATGCCGGCGTGAAAAACGTTGGCATTCTAATCTCGGCAGGAGGTATGAAGCACTGACAATATCCTTTTTGGTTTCTGTGCAATTTACGGAATCTAAATGGTTCGTACAAATTTTTTATAAATCACTCTTGGCAAAGGAACTTTTGCAATCCGTTCATTGCAGAAGTATGGTTCACAAGTGTAGCTCAGCAGCACGTGAGAACCACACAGTTTTTGCCATACTTAATTTCGATCCCCTAAACACCAGTAGCGACGACTTTATTACTGCCCTATGACATAATTTTACGAGCGCGGTGGTCGCAATAAAATGGTAAGCGAGATCCCGCCTATCTAAGTTTAAGCAAGATGGCAACTTTTATTATCCAACATTGCGATACTGGATATAAGAAATGAACATTAGACTCGTTGTCTTTTCGTAGGTAAACAACTCGAATCAAAAGGCTTTAGATACATGTACTTGCTTAGTACATGTACTTGTTCAGATCTTGTCCGATATCACAGCCCACAGCCGAAAAAACTTTTTATACTTGGAGGTTAGGGTGTCTTACTTTTTGCTCGAGAAGGGAAAAATGGAAAGATCGATATCATACGAGATGGAAGGAGCTAACTTTCCTTCAATAGAACTCACTGATTGATGCTATTAACAAGTGTTCGGCGCCCGCGTAGCGCGAGTGGGCTTCATGAAAGAGAACGTAACCAACATTAGTGAGTCATCCCAGAAATAAACAATGTATTGTGCTCACCGTCATAATCAGGTACTGCCTTTACCAATCCTACAACCTTATCGTTCGCACAAAAAGATAATCAGATTAGATAATTATACGTTTAATATTAATCGCTTGTTACCAATTTAAAGATTCGCAGCCGCCAAAGCAAGCTCATAGTCAATAATGGCTAAATGTTTCGAGTTTTACGTCTGGCATTGCCGTTAAGCATTCCATATGATACGCAATTAAGTGTGTCTACGTCAGGAGCCGAACCTAGGCCATTAGGCGGCTTTAGAAGATGTTATTTCCTGAACTATCACAGGACGGTATAGAACTTCGCTAATCGATTAATTCAGTCTAAATGCATGTTATACCGGTAGCAATGGCAGAGCGTCCGTACAAGACAGACCCGGTAAATTACACTAAGAAGAAATTAGCGGGTCTCTTCCAGTCATCTAGATACACTATAATAACACAGCTTATGAACTCTACGTTGTGAGGCAGAGCTTTACCAGTCAGTAAAAACTGTGATCATGCAGACGAAACATTTCGAACGATTCTTCCTGTATGAAAATCAACGTGTAGAACAAGGCTCATTAAAAAAAAAACATTGTCACACCGCTTTTTTCCTGAAAATTCTTATCACAACCTTCTAAGCTTCACCGTATTAGTCATATTAATTATGACACGAAGACTTTTGTTCAATTTGTACAAGGCCGTGAGAGTAATAACCGATTGCGGAATATTTGAAGGCGTTTGCTCGACCAACGTTCTCGAGGATGTTATCGTAATGTTTGAGGTTCGATGGTCCGACAAAATGGATGGGCCTCATTTAAGATGAGCAAACGTTCTTTTATTTATGCACATATATTGTGTGCTGTGAAGCCTGTGTCGATTTGGCTCGTATTGAAATATTCACATAAACACAGAAAAAGAATGTTTATATACACAATTTTTTTGTCTAGTAACTCGTGATTACTTATTCCGGTTAGATTTTAGATTACTGGATCGCATTTTTGGCTGAAACTCATTGAAGGCCCCAAAAAAAAATGTTCAGTCGCTGTATCACTTGTCACGATTGAGTCTCTACATTTTTGACGGTATTGGATGATGTTTTCTTACTGTATCGCATTTCAAAAAAAAACCCCCGTACCCAGACAATTCCTGGCGGAATAGCAGTATTATCACCTCGACCAACTGTCACGTCAGTCACTGACAGTTTTACATTGGATATTTGCCTGCTGATGATTCAGTAAATAAATTCGTGGTTGAGAGAAAGCGTCAAATTGCGACACGAACGGGATGTGGAACGTCATTTCACCAGGTCCAAGTGACTGCTTCGCGTCGTCAGTCATATTTTAAAAGTTGGCGGTAGCTCAGTCTCCAATACGTTTTGTCGCCTGCTACCAAAAGCCTATGCCCCGGCCCCTTTCCGGTAACGGCTGCCCATTTTACAATAAGCAATAAGCACGGCAGCAAGGATGAGGACGTTGTGAGATTTCTTGTTTGTTTTTATGCTCTGTGTTCACTTCTGATTTGTAGGACAAATTTACTTTAGTAAAAAAAGGATTACAGCTCACTGCTGGATGTATCTGTTCCAGTGTATACTAGAGGTCTAATTTGTTTTATTGAACGACAGTACGGAAAGAAAGGCGTACCTATGCCGTGCATTGAATAAGCAATAACTTTAACTTCATGTAACATTCATTACAACAGCGAAACAACTTCCGAAGAATAACAGTAAGGCTAAACTGAATACGTTCGACTAGATACAGCTAGGGCGTATTCGCTGGACTGACGCGCTCTTTTAGTCAACGTCCGACAAAACGGAGCTTTTATGGACATAATTTTGCTTAACACTAAGTTGAAACTTTATTAAGTAAATGCTTAGGAAACAGGAATTTATTGAACTGAAACAAATGAAATGCTAACACCAATTTTTTGCGTTCTATCTTTTCTCTTCGTTGCAGTTTTCTTAATATGGTGCCGAATTTTTACAACCTAGGTCAATATGAAGGAAAGGAGTCGGTCTTTTAAACACATTTGGCCTCCTAAACAGTATCAGATGTTAAACGAAACACTGAACACATGTCGATGTTCAGCTGAAAAATTAGAAAATTTCTCTACTGCGAACCTCCTGAATAACAGCTCATATTATAAACAGATAATAGGCAATTATCTCGAGGCCAATGAAAACGAAAGACGGAAGCCAAACACAGAGCAGAATCCAACACCCGAAAGAATCATGATCGTGACAAAACTCCTACCTCAAAGCCTATTACTTCATCGGATTGCAATTATAATGTAAGTTGTTTCGGTGACACTCGTGCTCAGTTCGCGTCAACATCGGGGGTAGACATCTGGTAGACATAATTCGGATCAAACTCAGCAGCTTTTATTTATATATATATATATATATATATAAGTCCATATGTGTTGTATGTTCATCATAGCATCATTACCTGCGGTTTTTTCCATTTTATAAAAATCACACCCCTACATGTAAATTTTTCATGTGGATTGCAGTTTTTTTAATAGGATAACGCTATACGCCTTTGCATCAATGAGAAGGAAAACAATGGAAAGCATCTATCCAAAGCAATGTACTTTGTATGACAGCATTCGTGTTATTGGCAGACGTGCGGACATACGTTTCCATGAAAGTTTACTTGGTAACGTATTTTCCTGGTAGTTTTAGGGATTGTTGTAGTTTAGGCTCTTAGACACACTTCCCTTTCGTGCTGGAAGCCAGCCGTCGGGAATGTTTAACGGCAATACCGGATGTAAAACTCGAAACGTAGGGACGGTGATGCGTTATTGCGCGCAACTCAACCTGCTGAAGCAATTAAAAAATTTGGAAATTCGTGAATACATATAAGCATATATAAATCATATACGAGAAAAAACATATGTACACGTTATAATGTGCTTTTTTCGTGTATGATAGTAAATCGAAAGAAAATTAGTACAGTAGAGTTTCGCAGCGTCCATCAGCTGGCCAGGCAGTCAGCTAACTTCGGGATCACCGTCTATCGTTGATCGAATACCAGATATGGGCCAACGCATCGGTTGTAGTTAAAATGCTGACTGTTCTAGTTTTAGGGTAAATCAGGCCAAAAAAATTTAACGCCGAAAAAGAAAAGGCATCTTACTCGCTGCTTGCCACTGGTACAACCCTCCACTAAAATGTTAATTCTAACATGACCATTTTTCATCGATATATATCGATGGCAGCTACATATATATAGAGAATTAGATAACTAATAATTTTCTGCATTTCTTAAAAAAGTCGGGATGAATTATTGCGAACTAATCCTGATCCCTGAATCGGTCCTGTGTTTTTTTTCTAAGTTTAACTTTAAGTCTTTAGTCGTAAGTCATGGATATTTATTATAGCATACCACCGGGCAGAGGTAGAATTGGCCGATAATCAGTAAGCGTAATTATAAAGTGGACGCAAATGGAACGTAGGTCTTATGTCTAGTAAATGCACGCAATCACCACCTACACGAGCGGTCCTTTTAGAAACAAATTAGATAAATTAAGGGGGCACTTCCATTTGAAACAACATGTTAAGATATCTCAAACAGGATGGATATTCAATCAAATTGTGCTCTTATTCGGCTTGGCCTAACTCCTCCTATATCATTATTGTCATGTACGTAAGGAACCTATTTTACTTTGAAACAGCGATGAATCTCTATGTCAGTTCTCATGCTGAGCCTACCTAGAAACTACCACCAGTTTATGTCCAACAGCTAATTGTCATATTTGGACGATAAATAATCCGTCACTAACCCGCGCGTCCGGGCATTACCCCCCACTGATGCTGTACCTTTTGGGCACACTTGCTTTTAATTCAAACATTTTCATTTTTAGATTACCTCTCGGATTCGAACGCAAGATGGCAATATTGTTGTCCATAATAGAGAGCATTAGTCGACAAGTACAATAACATCAATTATGAAGTCATCGTCCGCCTCACACAATCATCAATAACAAGTTTTTAATAACCTGAAGCGTGTTAGTGCTGAAGTAGCCGTCTGTGCTTTAGTAAACGAGACTCACGGCGATGACATATTAGACGCATGGAAAAGCTTTCCCGGGAAGCTAAGGCAATCGAAAGCAGACGCGTGACTCGCTTAACGACAACTAGAAACGGTCTATCATGCTTAATCAATACTGTTTGTACAGCCACCGCTTAAGAAACCTCATCGTTTTCAAATCCGCTACTAACACGAGTGTGGGGTACATATTTTTCAGGCAGTATTATGCCGACCATAGTGTGAAGTCGTGAGACTATATCAGAGAAGATCAAAAGCAGTGTGAGCGAGCAATCATTAATCTCAATGAACGTGTTCGTTATTTTCTGAGAATTTAATCGGTTACCGTGGCCGATATAGTACGAGCTGGTCGTTAGCATGTTCAGTGCCCATACGATTCACTAGCTAGGTAATGGTTCCGTTACTCTACTCATGTTTAGATCTTAGCAGGAGGTCTCTTGCCCTCTACAAAAGGAACTATCCTCTGCTGCGAGTGGTTCGGCAGCCGTCACTCTAGCAACAATATATTTTTTGATGCGGTTTTTCATTACCCCCTCTAGCTAATTCCGTCTAAACGATTCTGCAGTCATAAAAACGCGGCCATTATGGTCTACATCCATTGTTTGTACTTGAGATGGACGCTAGACACCACTGCGTTACTTTGTATCCGAATGAAACTACCCTACTCGAACTTGTTGTTTGACGCGCATTATATAGATGCATCGATGGGCTGAAGAGGCAGACTTCATTTTATGTACTTACAGTAGATATTCGCATATTTCATGTAGCTAGCTCGCTCGCTCGTAGCATTTGGTGTTTGAGATGGAGATAAAAGACGTGTAGGGAGTGATCTCATTGCCTGCTGTCGTTCGCCCAGCTGTAGGACTAGTTCGTTCAATGACACAATGAATGCGGGGGAAATGCGTGTTCCTTCATACAGGATTTTTGTGTTAACCAATTTACTCGATAGGTCAGTCGCTTGCTCCTGTAATTGAATGTTTGAGTGGAGAAAAATTACTAGCCATTCATAGACTTTTTGCGTTTAATAGCACTAAGATCTGGGTTATTGGCTTTCGCTTTACGACTGGCAGTGTTATCAATGCATGGCATGCTGTATGATGTTTTTCCTCTCTTCTGTGGCCCGGGGTACCCTGCAACGAACAACAAACTTCAAAGTTTCAAACCAGCATGAGGATTAACTGCGGTGAATATTCATAAAGTGCGTCACTGTCCGTATCGGTGTAAACGTTTCACGTCCAATGCACACTTCACCCTAGACGTTACAAAATCAAAAGGTAACCTATTTCATCACAGTGTAATACAAATGGGTTTCTACGTCAGTTATTGATCGGTATCGTGGAAGGACTCAAGGTTTGACTCTTTGACTGACAGAATCGTGGCAAAAAATTTAAAGCCGTATCTTTATATTCCGTCCAGGATACAATGAAGTATCTATTCGGACCAGAAAAAAACAATTCGATTTTACGTTTCTGAAAAATTCCTAATTTTTGTGTCAAGTTTTTCCAGAAAATCGTGACCAATGACGATTGTCAATCAGACAATAACAAATCATTGCGTATAAAACACCGCTGTGTATGCGGTTTATATAGTGCACACGCTCGCGCGCAAGATACTGTCATCGTTTATGCCGTCACTCGTTAAATATTTTTGCGAATTCTTGGTGACCTCTGCTTCTATTCATCGCTATATGTGGCCTCGTATGAGCTTTTTCTAACTAACAATATTCCATTCACGTGCCCTAGGAACTTACATGTGATATCCTTAGCTTTTTCGCTCCTGACCGACAGTTGAAAGTTAAAGTTGTTAACTTTGGTTTTGGCTTAGCTCGTTTACCAACAACGGCTTCCCAGTGAAATACGCATACCTATTCAGCCCATTTCTGTGATCTGTGGTGACCCTAGATTTTTGCTCAGATTGAAAAATGGGGTTTCATCAGCATAGCGTGCTATCAGACTTTTTGCTCTGGATTGACTTGACGTAGACCCTTCGGCATACTCTAAGCCATATAAGCTCACACGCATTATCTGATTCGAAAGAAACGGATCAGTTCTATATTACCCGAGAGATTAAGATTTTTACCATCCTACGTAATGTATTGGATAAATGACTTAATAGTTGAATGTGGCGGTCTCGAAATTACTCTAGATCGCTATGTTATGCGTAAGCTAGAGCAATACCAAACATTCAGTGGGACGGGGTCAACGATGAGGTGTGCTCCGTGGACCCATCATATATGATTAAAGGAAAGGACATGGAAAAAATAGTCTTTCAATAAAAGTGACTTAGTTAAGGCTTCCGTGAATCTTCTCTGTTGAGACGTACCATTTGGTACGGTAACCTTTGAATCATATGTTTTTACAAACAGCGATAACACGCTAGCTCCGCTTGTGATATGTTTTTACAAACAGCGATGACACGCTAGCTCCGCTTGTGGTGAAATTTAATTTCGCATCGTACATCAAAGGCAACAGTGATACGCCAGTATGTTTGTATTGACATCCATAATTAGACTGAAATATATAGTCTTACGCTAATCGCGGAATAAAAACCCATAATTTACTACGAGTGAAATATAAATCATTATGTTCTTCGTTTGCCCAAAGAAGCTTCCTTAAACGTCGATAAAGCTGTTCTGTATTTCGAGTGTTACGTGCGGCATCACTGTCAGGCATTCCATTAGACGGATGGAACGCTTCCTGTACGAAACCAAGTGTGTCTATGCCCAGATTCGAATCTAAACCACCACGTACGCGTCCCTATGATAAACAAGCATTTACTCTATTGACTAATCTAAGTATCGACATCAACTAGATAATTTCGATGGTAGTGTTAATAACCCCATTCTCCTATGAATCTAGCTTGTTATCACTGTAAATGGCACACATACCCCACCACGCATTATTTCTGCTAACTGCCGTGAAATTTCCCTCCTCGTGAACAATAAGGTGTCTTCCTATGTCCTCTGCTATTTTCGTTAGGACTTTTCGCGGTGCCATTGTTTGCCGCGCATACCAACCACGAGGCTAGAGATGATTCACGAAACGCCATGAAATTACTTGATTTATTGTTAGAAACGGTGAAATATTCATGTGTCGGAGGACGGATCGACCGATATACTTATCAAAGAATTTTGGATTCTGTATATGCTCGATTATTCAATTTTCAGCTCGGCTAGAGCTTTTCGAAAACGTCGTTTTAAAAATAAAACTTTGCGAAGTCGACCACTTGGTTTTTGCCTTTGAGAGGCAACACATTGAAGCATAAGTAAAATAACGCTAAATATGCGGAGTCCCGCAACCTCGTGACTCGGGGAACAGATTGAAAGTTCCCACTCGCGGAAAGTCGAACCGGAAGCAGCAAAGAAGACGATGGTGTGTACGGCTGGCTGGTCGATCTCTGCCTTCCTATACCCTTCACTGTGCCGTCTGCTCTCTGCGGTAGCGTCGTGTTTGCATGCATCCCTTCACGCGGCATTTACCTCGTTTCAGGTGGCAGATTCTTCTGCAGAAACGTATCGCCAGACCAGCGTTGCGCACGTCGCTCATTGTAACTGTATTATGGCAGCTCTTTCAAAGTAAAGACCGGAGCCAACAGAATAAAAATGGAGGAAGAACGGAGCCTAAGCATCAAGTAACGTTCTCTGGCGTAAATCTTTACCGTAGCAGTGAATTCTTGATTCAGAATTCAATAAGGCGCTTATATCGTGCCTGTCTTACGAATGGAGTGGAAAAAATTGTCAGATATACGTGTGCACACTGCTAGGAAGAATATAGGAAAAAGAGCGGAGCTTCAAACAGAAGAACCGATTCGCTTATTTACGATTTTTTTGGGAGCCTAAGCCCGTTACAGTTACATAGACAATAAAACAACCACTTCCGAGTGTACTTGTAAAGTAGATGGTTTTTTACTAATATATATATCGACAATCAATTAAGTCAGTGAAGGTCACATAAGTGCTGATGTATGAAAAATTGTTTAGTTTTGTTGCTTCCAGAAGTGCATAGTAAATAAACATGCGGCTCTGTCTATGTACTGCAAGCCTAACAAATGATCTTGGTATACGCCGTCAATAAACAAGAACGGTGATTGTGCCAAAGCGAGCGTATGTATAGAATGTGATGATGTAATTCCTGTAACTTTTAGATAGTAGCACGATCTATGCAACGTTCTACCTACATAATCGTAGTACTCTTGGAAGTACAACGATACGAAAGGAACCTTTTCCACCAGGAAGTCATGCTCATATTGCAAATCCCTTGCAAAACATTTTTCGTAGTATGCGCCCCGAAGTACAACCATTTGGCTAAAGTCGCTATTGTTGTTCCGTGTGGATTTCATTGCGAGGCTAAAAAACCTAAGTGAATCCCGCCGGAAGACAAGCAAGGTTTGGGAATGTAGATAGGCAACGCATGCTGATGAATACACTATTATATATAAACTTGCGCAAGATGTGCACTTTGTTTCACGGCCTCTTCTATCTCTTCCTTCGTTCTTCAGCTGATCTCGAACTGTTGCAATCGAGACCCCTGGAAGCAGTCTACAAGCTTTCTACATTCAATACATATGTCAGGTTCAGAAAATCATGCTTAAACAAAAGATATCTTTGCCGGTACGTTGCGTGATACGTCGAGCATACGTGAACGTTGATTAAGCATTCAATAATATTTACGTTGCTAGGCGTACTATTTACAGTATGCAATTTACTAATGCAAAACGAAGACATGTTGCAAACACAGAATTTCAATATAATTTTAGGCACTCACATTGATAATAGACCTGAATCTTGTTTACGTGGGTCCCGTTCCATATTTCGTTTCACTTAAGTATCAGTTGCTTGGGTCTCATTGCGTCCTTTGTTTTTCTCAAATTTGCTTTATCGATTTCCCGACACTTTACCTCACTCGAGTTCTGTTGCACTATACTGCACACATTACATACACATACAAAAGTCAAAGCATCATATGCTAACTTCAACAGAACTTGTTCGTATAATGGAACCAGCTTGGAATCCAGAAGATTGCCCGTAGAAGATCATGTTTTCACTATTTTACACCGTTTTTTATACTGTTCAGTAGTAATAACTTCTGTCACACTGTCACTCTCGTTCAAAGTTGAGGTCAGCTACTTTTACTTCCTACAACTAATCACACGGTCCAAATGTCATGACGATATAATTGAAGGGTATTGTATTTTTCTATTTTTGGGGTGCGGTATTAGGTGCGGTACAGTGAACCTCCAATGCACGTTCCATAATAAAGCAAGTCGAACAATGCTATGTAATAAACTACTACACAGAGAAAGAATATACACCGCAGCTGCTTGCCTGGCAACGCACCATTCTGCAGTGTCTGATTTTTTTTCATCAATTCATTATCGACACATTTTGGATTAGGCTAGTTTCTACTATGAGAGTCGTCATCACCGAAGCATAGAAATCAAACGCCACGCATGCGCAAAACATCAGATAGAGAGTGCGTGATAGCGGTTTACATGGAAAAACGACGATCCACCTGAAACAATTAAATACGCCACATTATTTAATTGTTCCGATTTCGTCCAGTCAATTGATCCAGAGAACTATATTCCTGGATGGGCACGGTAGATTCTTGTGTGGCCGAATACAGAGTACAGCTTATTCAATTCATCGAGTATTTGATCTCTTCGAACGAAGAGCTTTTTTAGTTTCCCTTGCGCCCCTTGATTCCGAGGTTTTCTGTCCAATTCTTGAATATGAAAGTTGACGGCCATTAGTTCTTGTTCGAGCCCATTCACGTCGTGCATCATCGTTGTAACAGCGCGATGCAGTGGACCAGACCCGCGATACGTGCATTTTGATCGTCGGGCGATGCGGTAGTTTCGGACGCAGCATGCGCCACTATCGAAACTTACCCGTATGTCTCGATTGTCTGAGCTATCGAGAGTATAGGGCCAAAAACACAGTTCGGGATATCTCTGTTGAAGGCACTTCTTGCCACTGATAAAGCATGGCAAGGGCGTCTGCTGTCTAAATCTGTCATTATAGAGCCAATTGTCGGAGAATCTCTCCATTGGTCACACGTACTCGAGGACAGCGTGATTGACTTTGCTAATCGGCTTACATCTGCCTTAATGTTTTCGACTACTGGGATTGATCAGCGAATTCGCACGATCGTCTTACTTCTGTTTGTATTTATATGTTCCATATGAGCGAGCGATAAAGCTGCACGACATGGACGACTTCAGTTGCAGTAACGCTAGCTTATGTTCAGGACGCTGATTTTACGAATGGTTCTATCGACAGGGGAGCCGTGTACTGTTCTGCCACAGAAAAACAAGAACCAGATGAAATTTCGGTTCGCTCAAATGGGTCGAAGGGTGACTCTCATTACAAAAAGAAAACGACGCATATGATCAATTGAAATTCGGAACACGTACAGTTCAACCGCAGACTAACGGGAGCAAAATAGTATATTATTATCAATTCGCATAAACTTATCGATCGCTTAACTGAATGCTTAAGCTTTTAAACGTATTGCTTAGTTGATACAGCAAATATGGTTTTTTGATCATGCCGATTTCGTTGTATATGCCGAACCTCTATAACGAACAAGTCGCTCTTATAAGGTAAGCTCGATCGACTCAGGCCCTGTAAACCTGCCACAGGTCTCGTAACGAAATCACAGTTATGCATCCGTTCGCTATCATTTTTGGGCTTATCGTGTTGAAGTTACATTGTAGTAGTACACCGTTTAATGTGACAATAACTATTCTCGTAAGTTATTAGTTGTATAGTTATTAGTTGTAATAGTCGCAAGTTGTAGCTCATTCACCAATGAGTTTAGATACACCCATGATGTATTACTTTTTTGTTAAATTATTTTGCCATATTGAATACCGTTTAATTGTAGAATAGTTAGATAACGATGTCCATCCAGTCAGGGCCTGCTCAGTGTTTTGCGGAGAATCGCTTTTAAAGGAAGAACTATAGTGGGGCGGTAACGATGGTTTGAAGGAATCTAAGTTGCCGAAGACTCATTGTAGTATCATTAAAAGAGACATAGATGGTGTTAAGTCTAAGCATTGGCAACGATTGCAATGTTCAGTGTAGAACGTGAGTCCTCAAAACTTCGAAGCACGGCACATGTTTGAGGGCCTTGAGTGTGACGAGCTTCGTTTACAACGCGTTATCGTATTCACTAAACTGCTTGAGTCTTTTGAATTAAACTATTATTCCAGATTACGAATAAAACGTTCACTGACCATTATAGACACAATATGGTCTGTTTTCTAAGGTTGTATCAATGAGTGGTTAGTGTCATATTTGTTTAAGCCTTCCGCAAAAACTCAATCCAAAGGCTGTATTATATACGCCGGCTGGTAACAGTCGTTTGACCTACGAGAACTTCTGACAAGCGGGCAGAAACAGACAGCGCAACACTATCCGCTGCTATTTCACTATTATGTCGAACGAAGTCAATCACCAAAGGATATATCAGATCGATTTATGATGGCTTCCGGAAACCCTGCCAGGCGGTCCAATCAGAGAAAATAGGCTGTTATTAGAAAACGTCAGGCGTTAGCAGTAGATGAGGTCGCGGTGGTTCTAAAGTGTGTGTTAGCAAATGTGTCGAGCAACTGCCAACAACCCTGTAGAAATGTACCATGCAAATAGAGAGGAACTGCAATAAGAAAAAAAAGCACGGAATATTGCACATTTTGCTTGAAGCCAGTCGGTGTTTGTAGTTCCGGCTATGACAATCTGTACGCCGGCATCTCCACTTTCGGTGACCTGCTTTGCACGGAAGCTATTAGAGAGTACGTTATCTTCCAGTATGTCACGCAATTTGTCCTTGTTTCTACGATTTGTACATTAGATGATATTGTTTTTCACTGAATATTCTACGTGTAGGGGAATATAATAGCTCTATTTAACAGCGATGTATTTTAGTGAGAGATACATCGTAACCAATGTTTTTATTGTACAACAATTGAACGAAATTGAATTTCCAACACTCAATTTCTGTGCTTCAACCCTTCATAACCGAAGAACTGGTGTTATAATTAATTTAGAAGGATCGCTCGTATTCTCACTACTAGAACCAAACATGACAGACATAGTGAGCACTCGGCTATTGACTTGATCTTTACCTACTCAACGCTACATAGTAAAACTAATGTTGGCTCAAAGGTGAGTTAAACAAAAAAAAAACCCATAACGGGACTGGCATATTGCCTCTCGTACTGTGTGAGGTAGCACGGTCAACATAAATTGTTCAGCACCGCTACGTTAGATGACTAGAAGTGACTCTGTTACATGCCTAGACAGTAGGTCACCATAGGATCGATTTAAGCAAACCGTGAACAAATACTACGATGAACGTTTCGAAGAGTAATTTAGGGAAAGATATAATCCAAAAGAAGGAAAATTGTTTTACTTAGCAAATGCTGACAATGCGTTTTGACGCTAGATCGCAGATGTAAGCTAGTGTTATTCTTCTCTATTTACGAATGATTCTGTTCTACTACAGGAAAGTAATGGGTACTATTCAAATGTTCACGTTACGTATACGTGATCTGACAAGCGGATGATAGCAGATTAGAGTGAGTGCGGCGCTAACTACAACGTCGGATTTCGTCTATCAAATTATTTCGAGCGCTGATTTTGCAGAAACGGTGAAGGTAATTTCCAGCACTATTGTGATTTAGAGCTATCTTTTATAAGGATTACCTATAAATCTACCTAATGATTACATATTTACTTTTAAAAGGTAACGTGACGGTAAGGTAGAAATGATGAAGCTAGGCTTACGTGTGATATCCTGCAGTTTTTTGATATGGATTAAACGCGTAACCTATAAGGCTGCTGCAAGTCAAATGCTGAGCCATCAAAGCAGCAGCTACTTCAAAGCCCTACGAGTTGCAGCTGGCAAGTGAAATAGTGGCCGCTTTGTACTCGCGAGATGAAATAGTACAAATGACAATTTTTACCGCGACTGGGCCGAGGTGTTGTTTGAATGAGAGAAATTAAGATCTCCAAGAGAGGCGGTTTCTGTCTGTAATTGGGTCATTGAAAGTCCCATTCGGATAGAGAAACCCGAAGGGTTCTTTTCATCCTAACTCAAAAATTAAAAAACTTGCGTTCGAATTAATAGTGAGGCTGCGTTGTTATAGTTCTGTAATAGAACGGACTGGAACTTATGGTTACATAGACCAATTTGTAACAAAAAGGGTGCAATCAATCACATGAAACTAACAGCTGATTGATTAAAAACATGCGTAATCGAATCTTTTTAATGCCTAGAATTAGGACTTAGAATGCCTAGAATTAGGAATGGGAGTAATATATGTATGGAAAAAAATTATGGGTCCGCAACATCAAACGTTTGCAAAGCAAACCCATACGTTTGATGTATGTAGGATATTAAAGGAGCTTTATAGCAAGTGGAACATTAGTGCCATTTTATTTGGCAGTTCTACGGTGCTACCTTGAACAATGTTTCAACTCTGTCATAAGTTTGCTGCATTGTCCAGTAGATTCGATGCTTCTCTAGTTAGGTTTTCAATTAGGCATATGCGTACATGGCTAGACGTGTATTTTTTTGTACAGTTTGGCACAAAAAAATACCACCATATCATCGATAAGCATCTGAGGTGCATGCTGGGAAAAAGTGCGCATGCGAAGGTATAGGGAAAATAACAATATCATTAAGAATTAACTATTTGATTATTTCGGCTTAAGTTTTCCGAAAGTAGAAGCTTATTGGAGGCTTAGCAGATGGGTGATATCGGTTAAAAAAGTTGGGGTTTGGTCGCAGGAGTTAGTTTTGAATATCGAGTGAACACCTTACACACCTTACTAGAAAGTAGTCGATCATTTCAAACTCGGTTCATAAACAGTCAGTATATAACGACCGAAAAGCTATTAAGCAAATTCGTCGCTTTTTCTTTTTTTGTTCAATTTTTTTTAGTATTTAATAAACGATATCGCAAACAAATTACTTATACTCCGAAATGCAATGACTCATCGGGGGCATTTTGAAAGCAGATTTATCCTGTGATATACTTTACGAATAAAATGCCACCATACACGAACTTATTAATTTCTTATTAAGGTTATGGGGCTACGAGGCGTACCCTACAGCTTCCGTAGTAGTGAAGTTTGAGAGAGTTAAACGCTGTGAGGTATCCCAGGCTAAAGGTGTTTACTCTTGATTGATAATTGATCTTGTTAGAGGAACTGTCACAGGCAAAAGCCACAAGTGGATTCAGATTCAGTATGTTAAGGTCTTAATTATCATTGTTAAAGCAACCTTTTATTCTGAGGAGACCGAAAAGATCTATATGGGGCACTCAATAGCTATCTTCAAGGTTCACTGTCTGATTCTACTTCAAAGGTGCACTCACCTTAAAACATTCATTCGCCTAAAGCAGCTCAAAAACGTCGCCGTTACGTAATTTTGGTTAAAGATAAATCAAAGACAAGACGCAGACTAGTCAAATGTGAGGTTTTCATTAGTAATTAATAATACAAAGGTTTCGTCCAATCAATCTAACACTGCCGTAATCACACAGCCGAAACTGTTATAAATTTAATTCTAAAGTCTATGTATTTGCACAGATAAATTAGTAATGAATTCAACGAAGACATCAGGCCCAGTCAGTGCTGAACTCAGGCCTCACCGTTAACCTGCAGCTCCGACCAATCGATAAATATGCGGAATTATAACCCGCAGAATACTACTTCAGGTGAAAGAAGCTAAGAGCTTACGAATAAGATACTCAACGCTTTGGTACTCCGCTATCTGTGTCGTGTATACCGAGCGCTACCGACAGTCGCGAACCTGAATGACAACATAATTGCGCTCAAGGGTAGAAAGGCTGGCACCGCTTGACTAGCTTGGGATCTGGCAAATATTTTACCATGTTGCTGAAACTAGACTGGTCTGAAAAATAAATATCTGCAACCCAAATAAAGGAAAGGGAAGAATTTCCAAAATCCTTGTTAGTAAAATATTTAATAATCTTCATTTGTGCGTACAGCCGAGTTGGCACGCTTTTGAAACCAGCATAGAAAAGCAGTCGTTAGCGGCAGGAGAGCACGGTGCTACGACGCAAACGAAAACCACTATTTGACTGACAGCCACCTTGTTTTAATGTGAAAAAAATGCTCATACATTTTTTTTTTTTTTTTTTTATAACAAAACGGCTTTTGCATTGCCATTCATGTGGATAACGAGCATAAATAAATGCTGGTGTTCAACAAATTCAAGAGCTAGGGCTTGACTCTTACTATCTTCCTGGAATCTACTATCTCTACGATCGATCCTGGAAATCTAGAGATTGTTGAAATTGTAGTGAAAAAACCTCTTAGTCTACTTTTATCGGTGTCACACGTTTCAATGAGATAAAAATAAGGTTCGACGGATCGTGTCCCGCCCTTAACCGAAACCAAAATAGTATTTCCACCATAACGAAATTATCCTTACACGAAAGTAGATCATGCCACAACGTGTAAGCATTTTGGATAGCAGGTTTATGTATAGAATACACGCTCGTCTCTAAATAGGATTATAATGTAAGCGATGTAGCGTCCAGTGTACGTATTTTGGGAAGACGGCTTTACGGCAGATTTAGCCTTAGACTAGTACTAGAAAAGATAGTGCGTTTTGTCTTTCTACGGCATCAATCCCATCCGAACGGTTGAAGGTCACATGCAAGCATCATGATCAAAGACTAATTTATTTACGAGCTGATTATATAGAGAAGGTATCCACATGTCAGTTAATATCTATTATTCGACTGTAATTACACGCATCATCCATACGATGTACCACAGTGATCGACATGCATGAATCTATAAGAAGAGAACAGACAGACAATGGTGTCATTTATGACCGATCTTTTATATCACTATTCACAATAAGGTTTTTCGAACCTTTATATAATAAAGGTCTGTTACTTATTGCTGAGGCATATTATATGCATGGCTACTCTATCAAGGTGTATGAATACAGGCAGCTAATAGTGTACCCATTGATACATAATCTAAAACGTTATATATGTGTTCAATAGGTGGCTGCAAGGTAATATGATAATCTGATTTATTCTTCAGGTCTATTACAAACTCACCAGCAATGAACTTTTGCTATTATAGGTCGACTTTATGTTCATTCATATATATTTATACGTATACCCGTAGAAGAAAAATATAAGGGGGGACTTTCATGAAGTCTCGACGCCGAATGCTTTCTCTATCTCTCCCAACTAACCTCATGCTGTGCAAACCGTACATCGTAAGTTGTGAGTCTACCGCTAACAATGGTTATATCACTAGTATATTCTTGAAAAGTATGCTCGTAGTAATGAACAGAAGCAAGCAGCACGCGGTGTTATATCCTGTCCTTAGCTCTGACAGGGGGTGGCGGGCGTAAGAGGGCTGGAGCCCCTCTTTTCGGACGGAAAGACCGACAGGCAATTAACCTTGGTTGTTGCTTGTGCTACTTCCATGCTGGTGCCGTTTTCAGTAGCGGTTTTGTGAGATTAGTACTGCTAGAGTATACCGCTGGAAGCGTGTAATACCTAACTCGACTCAGAAACACAACAACGCCTCCGCGTTGTGCATTATTCAGTCACACTACCATCAGCACAATCGGTAACGACAACGTTGACAGCAGCGTTCTCTGGCCAGCCACTAGCCTGGATAGTCCGTCTGCAGGACAAACACTGCAGGGCAAGGACGAATGTTTCCACGTCGACTCGGCCCACACAGGCTGGCAGGGTTTGCCAAGCGGCTGTGCTTCTTTCGGAGGCACTTCGACATGGTTGTTCTGGTTCTCATTCCAACTTGCGTCAGTCAGCCATAGCCTTATCTGTCTCTTGTCCAGCAAATTACTATGTTGTAATATTCCGTTCGCTCATGAGCTTGCGCGTACGGAATTAGACCTCGCAATTGTTGGCTGTTATGGCGAAATGAAGTGACACATGCTCATCAACGTTGGCCGTTCTAGCGGAATGCCATAGCATTATAGGCACACGCAGACCCATTCGTACTTTATATAGATATTCATCAACTAGAACAAAAACGGTCAGTTTCTTTAGGAGCGAGTACTTGTAGGTGAGTCGTCTGTGAAATAACGCACCCGTTTGTTAAATTAAAGAAAGGCAACATCACATAATCATTTTTCTTGTTCTGATATATATAACATATTTGTACTAATTTTTGACAGTAACTTTAGCACTGGAGCTATGATATTACATATTATTATAATTTCCGCGAAGTTCCGCAAGAACCAACTATCTAGCCCGTGCGTGCAGTTTCTATTAACGAAATAGGTTGACCGTTACGTATAAACAAGGTTTACTGTTGTACTGTTTATCTGTATTAACTTGTTTGCCTCTTTTATATAGCACTCATTATGGGTTCTAGCAGTAACGAATCTGTGTTTGTTGAAAACCAATGTGATGCTTAATATATATATTGTAACGCACTTGAGCGCAAACATGAACATGCCATTATTTACGCAATATTTGAGATTGAATTAACTGGATACTGCAAACACTCTTTTTATTTGTATATTGTGTTGAATCTACACAATTTAAACTCATAGATTATAATGTAAACTGTTGCTAGTGATATTACTTTAAATCAAGGGGAAATGAAAAGGGGAAATACATAAAATAAAATAGATTTTAAGCACGACCGTTCCGACATGCTGGCGGCACGAAGCACGCTGAGCGAGATTTTTCCTGGTTTATACAGATCAGTACCTATCCTGGATTTCATCTAGTCCACATGACACGGCTAACTTCCGTTATTTAAGCATTTCAAACCTGTCTGACATATGCATGCTTTATTCTATTAAAGACCTAGAAAAAAAAATCGAAGAATACAATCATATCCCCATTGTTGATGAATAGAACCGACCCTGTCCTGGGTCATCAAAATAAGTTGAACGAACTTGAATTTTATGACTTGTGAAATTACGTCGGTGGGCATTGAGTGAGAGCTTTGATGGTGGAAAATTAACTACTAAGTGCTTAGCAATTTGCTTCTTAGATATAATCCAAGCTACATACGTCTGCACGATGGTGCGACAGTCAGTGGCGTCTGGTATTCACTGGCGACACAATAATTGCCAGAAGGATTCAAGGACACCCACATGATTTGTGTCTTCAGAGGTTAGCTGCTATAGCTGTCTAAAGCACGTTTCTCTTAGAACGTGTATGACGCAATGTAGAATGTGTTCGCTGACGTTCAAAAAATAGTAGACAACGGACCGAATTGGTAGACAGCGGTAAAAGTAGGTACGGCACCAAGCGCCAGTTTCCGGTTACGGTTCCAGTTTCTACCGCCAATGAAAATTCAATGGCCTGTTTAATTGATTTGGATCTTCGTTTCATATCGTACAGTTATGTTTTTCAGATATTACTTATCGCTCATCGGCATCGGTTCATAATATTCTGCATTTGATCCCTTTTACTTTACGGACAATAGGTCCTCATAGGACAGATGTCCTGTTTCTTGCGAAGAACATCTTTTCTTTCTAGCATAGACAACTTAAGTAATAGATGAGTTGAACTGTATAGCCGGTATTGCCGCTAGGCACTGCGTCAGATGGGCGGTTTCTAGGACAACTGAAACTAGTTTCGAGCCTAGATGAGCACATATTCCCAAGTTTAATAGCATCGCAGTGACTAGACGACGTATAAAAACGGTTTCAAACGGAAACGATCTTTCAAGAGCCAGAAGAATAGTAGTTATTTGAGCGCATGCATGTACATGTGTGTACGTGTGCTGTTGTTGTATGCACAACGACATACTTTTGTGTAGCCATTGAGCTCGTCGTTCGACTTCTTTGGCACCGTTTACTTCGCAGCAGGCTGACAACATCGGCATCGTTATTGCAGTCGTTCATATACAATCAATCCCTGTTGCACTGAGTGCTCAGCTTGTAAGCAATCCAGCTTAGGAAGCCAGTCTAAGAGTAATTTTCGGTTCAGATCTTTCTGTTCTTTTAGCATGACTTCTCGGTAATTTTTTTGGGTCTGTAATATATGGGTTAAATCTATTACATATGCACATACATTATCATCGATCTACTTCGGGCACAATGGAACTGGTGCATGGCCCATTGGCGTCTGCACTCGACAGTGAGCGTTCGCATTGCCTTAGTTTGAGTTCGGATCTGGCTAATACTAGGCATTGATTTAGCTCTGTTTGCTTGTTGACTGTATTGATACCTCCTCTGAATTGTTCCGTCAAAGCCAGCAATGACGCCAACGACAGCGGCCGTCGGTGACGGCAGTGGCACCAAAAGCGGTTTCAGAGCAAACGCTGGACATTATACACGATACGGTACGATGTCAGAGTTCTCCGCTAACCGTTTTCATCAAGCAGCCAAACCAACGAGTGAGGCGAAAATTCATTGACGGCTAACCGAGTGATCGAAGTAGTTCTTGTTGTGAATACACGCGCGAGACACACGTACAAACACACCACCGAAATCTGTCTATGAAGCAACAATCGCATTGTTATTGTTATCAGTAATAGCAGCAGCAGCAGCAGCAGCAGCAGCGGTGCGCGGACTGGGAGCAGCGGCAATAGTGATAGCAACACAGCTTTCCGGATCGCACTTCTGGCAGCCGGACGCCTCGTACTTTATGTGGTAACGTTGCCGTTGTGTGCCGCTGCTGTTACTACTGATAGTTCGCTGTTTCCACATGTATATTATTTCGTAACTTAGCATCCCATATCCGTACGACGAATGAGAAGGTTTGTCACGTATGATTCACTAAGAGGGAAGTTGGTGCTAGCCGATTCTGGCAACGGCCGTAGAAAACGGCGTTGTTTGTCTGCACAGCAGCGGACCTGTGATCACCGTCCGCACCATTGTTACATACAATATCAGCCAATAAGATTACTTATTATCGGCACTAGAAACTGTAGTGCCGTTAACTAGAAGCAAGACGGTTGAATAGTGGTCAGCCGTTTAGTAATGATTGGCCAACAGATTTCAGTGCAGTCCGAAATCACTGAAAGAGACGTTCAAACTAACAACGA